AACGCTGAAGCCGTGATTATGTCCTTTCCAGATGGGTAAGTCATACTAAGTTTGCTTGTGTGTCAGGTTAATACCTTATAAATCTTATTTTCAGTGACTGACCACTTTGTGCAAATGCCAAGTTAGTTTACCTATCAGAAAACTGTTTCTTGGAAGCCAACGCTATCAGTGTGTGAATGAAGTGTAAAGCGGTTCGGAGTCCGAAGAGATTTAATAAGGCGCTATACAAATTCAGCCCATTTACCACATCAGTTATGTTAAAGTTAGCTGTTGCATTGAGTGTCAGCATATTAAATCACTGAATTATAGTGATAATCCATCCTGTTTCCTCTTCTGTTGATTGTTACTTTTGCAATAGTCTTATTTGAACTTTTGGACTCCCAGATCCATTAAAATTTCAGACAGGATGGATRATTGTTTTAATTTTATGCACTTGAATTTCACTTTAACCAAAGTTATTTGTTAGTATTTTTTGGACTTGCAAAGCTATGTCTACACCCAACAGACCCTCATGCTGGGGCTKGGGGAAGCAGCTATTCTGAGTTATTTGAACATTAGCTATTTGATTAAAACTAGCGATACTTTGTATTTTATTTCATTTCTAACATCACATGTACTTTATTAATGTTAGAAATGCATGTGATTAAGCTAATAAGCTTAAGTTTCAAACAGTTATTTTAATTTGCTATGGGAACTTGTTAAGTGAGAAAGACTAGGATTGGGCAATATTGGCAAAAAACAAAATCACGATTAATTGTGGTATTTAGCCGATGACGATTAATTTGACGAGTAATCCCCTGGAGTCCCTGGACACCCTTATGTCCTGGTCACATGACTAATTTAGTGGGAAAGATTTGTTCTTTGTAAAAATCTGTTCCAAATAGTGCCAAAATTACAGACTCTTGGCTATAGATCAAATTTTAAATTGTGCTGATAGATAAATAAATTACAGAACTTCTTTTTTTAATGTTCATCATATTTGAAGCGGAGAGGAGCCTGGTGGCATTAATCGTATTAATAATCGTCAAGTGCCAAAAAATAATCGATTAATGTTTTTCTGACTATTAATAGCACACGATATGATTATGCCCATCCCTACTGTTACCTAGAGATAATTTTAAGTTACCAAAAAGCTGAACATGCATGTTTTTGGTTTGTGGGAGGGAATTTGAGTACCCAGAGAAAACCCACGCATGCACATATTGAACAAGCAAACTTCAGAAATGTCTCCAGACAGAATTAGACCCAACCTTCTCGCTAAGACGCAACAGCTCTACCAACTACATCACCATGCAGAACAGTAAGGTAGACTTTTAAATGCAATTCTGTGTGGTTTTCAGGGAGGTGCAATCAGAGCAGGTGGTTGGATGTTTATAACTGTATCCGACACTGAGCAGACGGAGTGATGAGGCACTTAACTGATGTCATTTCAGGGATTTTTCACATAAGAACTGAGAAGTACTGTCATCTTTCTTCTGAAAAGACAGAAGGAAAATGCCATGATTTTTCCCCCCTCCTGTCAATGCATAAGCCAAGGCATGAGTCTGCTGAGAAATGTTAGAATGAAAACACAAATGAACAAGATCTTGGTCTGTAATTATTCCTACATTAATAGATCTTAGTTAAAATAGTACTTAGTCAAATACTAGTGTTTTTATCTGCCAACAGACAATTTCATATGACAGTCATTTATACCAAATTCCATAGTTGTTTGCAAGAACAAATAATGGCAGCACCTATGCACTTGAACTATCCCTTTAAGCTTGTAAACTGTTTATGTGAAATGTTTCTCTTCCTTTGTGTAAGAAGGCAGTTTGGGACACAGCCAACTAGCTGACAAAAAAACAGCTCTGATCAAAAATTGCTGCACGGCCTTATCTTTTTACGTCTTTAAAGCTTCCGAACTCTTTCACACTCAAAAGCTGCTCAGTCATTTTGCAGACTTTCCAGGTGGCTACTTGAGAATTTAAACTATGATTGGTATTTGACATTTTCGAGCCACATCAACCACCTATCATCCTCCACACTGCGTTGCACTAAGGCCCACACGCAAGAAGCCGGCAGATCAAATTTAGTCGCATGRTCACACACAGCAGAGTGAGACTTCAACACAGTCATTCATAATTTAGAAAAGACAATGGCAAATACCTTCCTGATTTATTCATTTCATTAATTGAAAAACATTGCAGTCACAAGACTCATTATTGAAATTATGCCTTTACAATTTCAAGCACTTGAAATTAAAATWTTTTATAGTATTTACACTTTAAATAATGTCAGAACCAGATCAAGATGGCTGCGGTGGCGGCAGATGTATGTAGCTGTGCAGTATCGCTGCAGGAATATACATCCCATTTGGCTTTACAGGCATCTGCAGGTCTGTTTTTGACCAAATTTACCTCAGGTTTAGTGTTGCTGTTACTCTGTATGCTACATAAATGGAAGATCAAAGACACAAATGACGGACMTCATTTTCGAAAAACAACAGCACACAAGCATCCTATGGCGTGTATACAAGCATCGACCATAACTTATCCTAACTTTGGTAAATATCAATATCAATATTGTGTCTATGGTGTATAATGATGTGATTGTGATGCTGTAATTCTGAGTTTTTTATGTGCTGCAGAACAGGAACCTGCTGTAAAACAGCAATTATGCTGAGTCAGGCTTGATTTTTAATAATCTTTTCCTGTTAAATAAATAAATCAAATCAAATCATGTGCAACAACTGCTGTCATATTTTTAGGTTTTTGACTTGACCAGCCTTTATTATGTGACTGTTATCCAGTAACTACTTATAACTGGTTAATTTTACACTTGAACTTCCTAATGTGAGAAGAAGATATGTCGTAAAAAGACTATGTTGATGCAACCCCCTGCAACAGCAATAATTATTTATCCTAAAGAGGAAAAAAATGACAGCAGAAAGGAAAACATATCTTGAAGCCCATCAAGCAGTTTCTAAAGTTTTATTTCCCATTTTAAAAAGGCATTTTTTGATAAATAATGTAATTAACTCCCTGGAATAAAATCCACAGGTTTTCCTAACTACACAACAGGGGCTCACAAGAGGTAACGTGCATGAGAAGACATGCCCAACTCATCCTTAAATACAGAAGAAAAAAAGAACAAAGCACCTCAAATTGCTTCTGACAAAGCATAGCTGTTTTTTTTGTTTTTTTTTTTAGTTTAGTTAGTTTCTCCTCTTTAATTGGGCGTTTTGGCAAATAAAATTAATTGCTTGCCCATTATAGCAACATCATGACAATAGTCTACTGGATGGTTGAGAGTGTGATAAAAATATTAATACCAAAGATAAATTATAGGTTAGGGTATGTAATCTGCTGTGAAAGTTATTGTAATAAAAATATCTATTGTCAGTTTCTCGAGGCACTCATTTCTGTATGTCATTCACGCATACTCGTTCAGCCATTGATTTCCCCGTTCAAATGCTTCTCTACTCAGTCACTCATTTCTTCTAATGTAGAGGTCGCTTGGTGTGCACTAGACCATGGTGGAGTCATAAAAATTAGCTCCCAAGAACCAACCTGATCCATTGACTGTGTAACCTTGAGACCGGTGCAGAAACACTCTCCTACATACACTTGGTTGACCACTGCCTTAAAGGTAGTGGTCATGCTTGAAGAGACATGGATTTCATTTACTCCACAGCTAAATGGAACCAACACGCTTGCCCACACACATTTCATTAAAGTGCCTTGGTAGGCTTAGTCTGGCACAGTGTGAGTCAGGAGTTAGAGAGCGTGATCAAACACACACTTACACACATACTGTATGAAGAAAAAATATCTAGAAAGAAGGAAAACTCGAACAAACTAAAAGAGTTAATTACACAAGATTAAATCAGTTATATTTAGACTCCATCAAACTTGTGCATCTGTATCAAAAAAATTTTATCATCACTAATAAGTAGTTGCAAGGTTTTCGGAGAAGGTCCTGGTTGGATCCAAGAATGCAAAAAGATTAATACATTTATTGCAACTATCTTTTTAAACCAGATTTCCTCTTTTTATGTTAAAATTTCATGTGAAAATATTCCTTAAATGTTCAAGGAAAAAAAAGTAAGTAATTAAAATGTCTTGCTTGTCATAGCAATGCCATTTGAGCTTGTATTCATGTTTTTCCATAAGAGTGTTGCATGTTAGAGTAGTTTTGTGTTCAGAAAAAAAATTATCAGAAGTTTTTGAATGTATTCTCCATGCAAAACTTCATCCACCCTAGAGTATTCTGCATTTTTGTTAGAATTCTCAGACTAAAACAAAAAGAATTTAAGTTCTGATGGACTTTCTATCAACCATTGAGATTTAGCCATAGAGCACTTTTGGGGTATTGTCATGGCTCTTAGGTTATTAGCGGACCCCCTGGTCAAGTTATGTAGAAACATGAATAAAATGGCAACAGGTGATTGTCATATAATCACTAAATTATTAAAAGCTAAATACCAAAGGGAAATTACATATTTGGTTCAGTTCAGCTAAGGCGTTCTAGCTTTTTGCTAAAGCTGAGAAAAACAATAAAAAAACCACTGAAACAGGGTATTATCTATAGACAACAATCACAACAAATAATTTAACAAAAAAACAAGTAAAATGGTGAAGGTAGGGGTGAAGTGTTAGAGTAGTCAGGCTAGTAATCAAGCAGAATTCTGTTTTACAAAATGWTTTTCTCATTTGACACCAAAGATCTGAATTTATTCACCCCAGACAAGTACTCTGTCCAACATAATCCCTTCATCCAATAAAGGATGGACTTCAAATCAGCCAAAGGTTCAAAAACTATTGCTCTGGACGCTGCTGGAACGACACCTGGGTCCAATTGTGCTTGAAAAACTGTCAGATATAAGATACGTCTGTGTGAATCAATCTATGGTGTCTTGCAGACTAGGCTGCTACCCTTGGGGTTATTAAATTGGTTCCTTTGCGCCTGACGAGTAAATCCATCACAAAGAACAGTTGGATGGAAGTGTTGGTGCCTACCTGCAGGTTGTGTCTCTCCAGTCTCATCTCCAGAATGTTATTCTTTTCCTCCAAACTCTGTCGCTCCTGCTCTAAATCTTCAATTTTCTGTCTGAAAAAAGCAAATGCAAAACAATATTTGATGTAAAAAACATGTGATATGCATACAGTAGACTGTGTTAATCTATGGGGTATAGTTCTGCTCAGGCACATATGTGGGGTCTGGGTTGGTTAATCCACTATAAATCTTTCAGGACCTAGGACTTGAAATAGTGGATGTTTCAACAGGTTGTGAGCGTTTCCTACCTGAGTATGTTGGCCTCTTCTTTGGTCACTAAAGAGAAGCTGTCAGCAGCTGAAGCTTGTTGCTTCTTAATAGTCTCCAGCTCCAGTTCCACCTGGAACAGAGAAAAAGAAAATCATGCCGCTACACCATCCTCGCCTTTAGCCAAGCAAATGAYACCTTTTGGATTGCTATGGATACACACTTCAAGGCAGATATAAGTAGATCTTTTGTGACTGATTCTTGATACTATGATTTAATTGATCTGACTGTCTTCTACATATTTGCTGATCTTGCTCTTCACTGCAGTTATGTCTCATTTTCATTTGCCAACTAATTTTCTTTTTCCTTTTGGCAACTGTCTGTCTTTCAGTGCATCCTCCCTTCAAATTCTCCCAAGACGAAAAGGTAATTACTGCTATACCACACCAGATTTCACGCATCAGGACGCACTGCCATGGCTATGTTGATGTTACCTTAGCAACCTGAAGTCACAGAAATGAGGGAAATTGTGGACTGTGTAAAGATACAAGGAGTTAAAGAGTGTGAAACACTTAAGGGTTACCCTGAAAGCTCGTAGTTCAGTTAAAGAGTAAAGTTATAAGTCCCAGTTGTGGTAAATGCATATGACCAAAAGACAAAAGATAAATGGTATAAAGCAACTTTAAAAAGGTCTGTAGAAAAGGATCAAATCTTAAAGTGCAGATATTGATAACTGTGCAGGTTATTTGGAGAGGCAATAGACCATTTGTGATTCAGATAGGATTTGACAGCAGTCGAAATACCCATTAAAAATATTGGATGCAGTTTGAAGCAACAGGTGACATTTGATCAATAGTACATGGTAAGAAACTTTTTTAATTTTTTTTTTTTTACTTTTCAACATTTTTCTGATTTCAGAAAGTGGTGATTTATGTTTTAGGTAAGTTGTAAAAACTTGTATTTGTCACCAAAAAATGTTTCACAGCCCAAAAATGCATTCAACATGGTGGCACTTTAGCTGACATTTTAAGTGAATTGTCATGTTTTAAAATCTCCTTACAGTCTTTGCAATATGTCAAAAAAAAAACTATTACTAGAAGCCTGTGTTGGAGTGTACCATGTTCCTACATGTTTTCCATTTCATTAATTAATAATTTAAGACTTTCCAGACTGTTCAGTGTTTGTGTCATTTAAACATCATTAAACATCATTTAAAAATGTTTGTTATGAATTACAGTAAGTATTTCTACAGCAGTCGTACATTATTACGGTAGTTGTACATTTTAAAACCCACAACAAAAACACACAAGCAGAACTATTGGTTAACAAGAAACTGCACTTCTGAAAAAAGAAAAATAATAATCTGCCCACCCMCCTTTTTTTAAAGGAATTTACAGTCTTAATCACTGGTTTCTAAGGTTCGGGTCAAGGTTCCACTGCGAGATATGAAATTATATTTGGGGGTCTTGTGATGAGAACATTTAAAAATCATACTAATCTACATATTTTGACATAAGACTGGTAAAATACATATGTAACAGTTTTTAAGGTCATTTGTGTTGCCATTAGGCTCTTGTTCATTTGGTTTAAAGATGTGTATGYGCTTCAATCATCGGTGGTTGAGGTCAGAAGTTTTTTCTGGTGCTATTTTATGGGTTGATAACTGAAACGAGAAGACTTAATCAAAATCAAACAGTTTGTCTTCATCAAGGACAACAATGTTCATTTTCTAAAACAATATTATTTAGAGTAAATCAGGAAAAGAGCATTGAGTATTTTGGGTTTGGGCTAACTTGGAACTGAAAAGGTACATACATTATGCAACACATAATAAATAGTTTACACGTATATAGCACATTGCGCAACATAGATGAGTTTATAGTTTTTAAAATGTCAAAACTCGGGACTTAATGTTACAGATGAACCAAAAGGTAACATCGTGGTTGATTATTTTTTTACTTACTCTTTGTAGCTGTAGTTTGAGGGATCCTGTTTCCTCTTGGGCTTTGGTCAGCTGGGCCTGAATTAATAAAAAATGAAACAAATCGCATACCTTAGGAAGAAAAATGGATGTACAAACTACCTCATTCATCTGATATACATAAAAAGATGACTAAAACTTTACTTTGTGCCAAAAGTAACTATCAGTTGTGAAATCACTAAAGATGCGTGATATTAAGAAAACATAATTGAGCTATTAYTGCTGAATATTGCAATGACAATAAAAGTTGTGTTGCCCTATCATTTCAATGTTAACAACACTATGTTCTGACTGGGAATTTAAAGTAATGGGTGTCTAAATGATTGCCAATTTTGTATTTATAGCTTGCAGTTTGTGTCTGCAGTTTGTTTTTAAAACCTTTGCAATATTGATATTGTGCACACTGATATTGGAATTTTAAAAAATGTTCAACACATTGTTCAACCCTAAAAAAATACAGATAAAATAAGAGACAGTAAATTATAAGAATATGTCTGCACACACCTCCATCTCCGTGTTGTAGTTCTGAGTCTTCTGCAGTATGTCCTCTGCCTCTCTAAGCCGTTTGCCGAGTTGAGGAGAGTATTCAGTAGATGCCAGTTCATTGTCATAGGACTCCAATATGGCCCGCATACCATCCCGCTCCTAGAACACAAATTATGTGAATTAAAATGACAATCAAAATATTTGTGAACCAATGTTAAGTTTAAACTACAGAAAGAATTTCATTCTCCTAGTTGTTGAACTAAATTAAGAATGTGATTATTGGCACACAGACATTCAGTGAACACAACTCATTCTAATGGCTTGACCATCTTTAAAAAGAGAAGCGAGGAGAACWATGGGCCTCATGCAAGAACATGTTTGTATTCTTATCCTAAATTTCTCTTACTTTTGTTCGTACGAAGGGTTCGTACRAACATGTCACGTCAGATTCAACAAACTCTTCTATCTTCCTGAAAAGTGTGTAAATGAGCTGCGTAAATTCCACCTGTTCGTATCCAGCTGCT